GGAGCGGGACCTCATGCAACACGCCAGGTGAGGCCTTAACCGCAGTGGTCAGCTGGGCCTTGCTGTCCCTGCATGGTCTGCGACGCCGCCTTGGTCCAGGGTTACATGTTTAGTGATGTTTTCTGAATGGCATTACGGTGATCCCATTCAATTTCAATTGAGTAGCAGCAACAGCAGCATCAGTCGCATCGTGCACCCAGCATCTCGCATTGAGCTTTTTCACCACTCCTGCCACTCCCCATGCGCAGTGTGCTCTGCGGGATGCGTCAACGGCAACTGCTCTGCGCCTGGCGTGTGCGACTGCACGTCCGGCTGGAGCGGAACCTCATGCGACACAGCTGGTGAGGACTTGGCTGCAGAGGCCGGTGAATGCATGCTCTCACAGCCACATATTGGATTGCGTCTGCCCAGGCGTCCAGGCCTGACAAAAGGCGTGTTTGGGACTACAGGCGACCCTCTCCCACCATTACGCCGCACCGCACCCTGCCCCTCCTCATGTGCAGTCTGCCCTGCGGGATGCGTCAACGGCAACTGCTCAGCCCCCGGCGTGTGCACCTGCGCGCTCGGCTGGAGCGGGACCAACTGCAGCACGCCAGGTAAGGCCTTGGCCGCAGCAGCCCGCGGCAGCTTTTTCAGTGCGCAACACCATTGGCCTGCCTCAACCCAGGGCACATCCCGGGTGTGATCCAAGCCAGCCAGGCAGCCAGGCGCGGTGCTCCAGTCATAAATCCAAGTCCTTGCCGTGGGGCTTGCTTCACAGCACCCGGCATGGCTGCGCATGCTTCACATCCACCCGCGTCCGCCCCCCTCCACCCCGTTCACGCAGGCTCCTTGCTGTGCGCCTTGGCCCCATGCGCCAATGGAGGGGTGTGCGTTGGTCTTAACACCTGCGACTGCTCCTCCACCGGCGGCTGGACGGGGCCCACCTGCTCCAACGCCAGTGCGTGCACTGGGAGGGCAAAGGGGCGTCGGGCAGGCATTACAGTGTCCTCTCAAGTCCTCGCTGTGTCCGCTGCCGCCCCTGCCTTCCACCACGCCCCTCTGCTCCAATCGCCGCCTGACAACAGCAACACAGGCCCTTTGCAGGCATATAATTGCGACACACCCTGCTGGCCAGCCTCTCGCAACATGCGTGACGCCCCCCAACCCCCCCTTGCCCCCACGATCAGCCTGCTCATCCGGGTGTGTCAATGGGAACTGCTCTGCTCCCAATGTGTGCACCTGCTCGTCTGGCTGGACTGGGACCTCATGCAACACGCCAGGTGAGGGCTTGAGAAACAAGTCGCAGCGGCTTGCTGCTTGT